TCACAGGTCTAAAAGGAACAGTGGTAGGAAGGCCTCTGATCTGTCAGCCCAAAAGGAAATTAGTTAGGGCAGGCTGGAGCAGGCTTAAAAAGGGAGGAGGGGGGCAGGGTAAAATGGAGTAATGGAAAAAGGGAAGCATTTAGGATATTGAGGCAAAATGAAGAGGATATTGAAAAAGGTCATAAGGGGATGGGACCAATGCTCCTGAAAGACCTTAATACACTGCATCCTCTTACAGTACATGCAGAGTTCAGCTTGTTTTGCAGAGAACTGCAAAGTGACTTTTGTAGTGGTTAGAGCTGCCCCGTTAGGTAACACCCCTTACTTGTTTCTGAATGACCGTGAGAATAAACTCAAATTAAGGATTTTCAAGGATATGTAAGTGCAAAATACATAGCAGAAAGTTTACTTAAGCTGTTTCTGCAAGTTACTAACTGCTGTGTGTTTTACTTCCCACCCTTTTTTGGTAGAAGTAGGGATTTTGCCAATAAATTCTGTGTTACCATTAAAGAGGCCATTCATCATGCTTACTAATGTTATTAATCAAGATACACCACAGTACTCTTAAAATGAGATCATTTTGATAAATCATGTATGACATGAAAAGACTTTATTCCTTTTAAGTGCAATTTAGACTGTAATTTTTTTCCTCATTTATGATTCATGGGAGAAACATGGATAAAATTCCCTTGCACATTTACACCTTATCTTCAGTAATAATTCAAAACTGCTCTTAGATGAAAATTCAAGGGCTGATTCACCAAAGCTGAATGCCAGCTCATTATTTTCTGGCATTCAGTAGTCCAAAAATAATGTCCATATATTAGGTGCTTTTCACAATAGTTGAATTTGGCTGCACACCAGACATATCGATTACACTCAATTAAGCCTAAATGCATAAGAATTATCTGATGTTCATTTGCATTTTTGATCCCTGCTTTCAACCTTGCAATTTAACATTAAGTGAAAACCAAAAGGTAAAGTAAATTCAAGTGAGAAGTGATAATCTCTCTTACAAGAGAATAAGGGAATGCTTTGAATTTGAAATGCTTTGAGTCTTAAGCTCCACTACTTCCATTAAATGTGAGAAATTCCTCTTTCTTGCTAAAGGTTATTGAAGTTAGAAGGCCAAAATATAAGATCACTGTTCTTCTTGTTGTCCTAATACTACAATAATTTGGCTACTGTATTAACATCACATCCGAAAATAAGCTGCTGAAATATCTGGAATTAATATTTGCTAAGGTCATACTCTTGATCATAACTTAAACACTTGTATTATTGATTAGATTTAAAAGTGTCAGAAGTGGGTTTTTTTTTTACTCCTGTGTTTAGAAATACAAAAATGAAGTGTCCGGTAGAGAGATATAACTTGGATAGCAGAGTAATTTAAATTTTACTTTCTCAAACCATGATTCAATGAGGATTGTCTTGTCCGAGTTCTCCCTTTACTTCCTTCAACAGCTAAAATATTTGAAGGAACTTGTGAGGTTGCCAAAAATAGTGCAGCATTTTTTTTTTTTTTAATCACTGGTCTCTACAAATTTTTTTTGATGCAGTAGATGTACAGTATGTCCTGATACTAGCCATGATGTTCCCTTACTAGTACCATCCAAGTATTGCATTTTTTATTCCTTGAAAAGTGGAATTCAGGGATTAAACAGAATAGCTTTTATTTTTGTTTAGTCTAATTAGATTCCTCCACTCTTGAGAGCTGGTTGTTGGTGTGTGGCTGACAAATTTCTTCTAAATGGGTTATTTTTTTTCTGTTCATTACAGTGACTCTAATTTATGCTGGAGTTTAGCAAAGACAACTGCTAACTCATGGCTAAGTCTGCTTGGCTGTGGAGCAAAGAGAGTAGGAAATCTCCTTCCACCAAGAACAGCCTCCTTTCCTGGCAGGGGTGCTGTGCTACCTCTTGGTTTTCCAGAACATGCCAGTGTGTTGAAGTGGGTGACAAATATGAAGAAAGGTGCCACAGTTTAGCAAATGTTTGGTTATATGCATAACAGGGGGCTGTGAGTAGTCTAACTTTGTCTTTTAAGTCTTAAACCACATACTATGATATACTGCAAAACTTGAATGACTTCAAGGTTTGCAAAACTACAAGCTTCTTCTGTAACAGTAACATTAGAATTTCTTTACTGAGTTATTTTGTGACCTGTTCCTATAAATTGAAGCTACCAACCAGTTTAAACAGCTTTCCTCAAAGCTATTTGTATGTATAGTTACTTTCCACTGCAAGAAGAACTTCTGATGCATATATCACCAATACTTGAAGACATAACTGTCACATGTCAATGCTGTCACTGTCACAATATTCCTGTGAATATTAAGAGTAATGCAATCTATACAAATCTCTTTGGAAAATAGCTTAGGGCCAAATGTCAGTATGTGATAGAGAAAACAAATAGTTGTCTTTCTGCTGGTGCACAGGCTTACTCAGAAACGTGATTTGAAACTTGAGCCAGTGTTTGTGCAAAACAATCCTAACCCTGGATGATATTCCATAGAATTAAAGTTGCTCTAACTGAATGCTTAGCTCAAAGGTAATGAAAATTCTTCTATATTTGACAGGGAATTATATACTGTACATAAAATAACAGAAAAACACCGATAAACAAACCCTTCTGTTCTTGTGTTTCCTAAAATTGGAAATAAAGCTAAATTGCCCCTTCACTTCAATATCCTTTTTAGAAGCTCTTGAATTTTGCTCACTCAGTGGTATATTGCTGAAATGGCAAAGTCTCTTCCAGTAATTTTAGGAAAAGCTATCATCAAGCTGTCAACAGTCTAAATTGAGATTAAAAGTAGCAAAGAGAAACCTTCACTATTACCAGAGTCCCAAATAAGTACACTTGAATAGGCAGATAACATCTAGAGTGTACAGTATGAGACCACTTATTCTTCCAGTTTTTTGAGTGATTTACAGGCATGAAGCATGATGTTAAAATAGTGACATTTTTCTCCTTTTCTTACCCAGAACTACTCAACCCAAAGGAAACATGTCGTTGTGAACAGATTCCTGTTCCTGGAATTAGTTTCAAATATCACATAGCTGGGTCTAAGGGGTTTCTATCTCTCCTCTTACATGTTATGTGCCCTTGGCTCATATTGGCCATCAGAGAGATTTCCAATAATTCATAGTCCAGAGCAGATTGAGCTGCAGGTTTGCAGTTCACCAAAATCAAGGTATGATTCATTCTGGCTGAAGGTGAAAGTTATGTCTGTAGCAATATGTCTCTGAACAGGAGGTTCCCTGAAAAGGGTTTCTTATCACTGGTGAGTCAACAGAGGCAGGATATTCTCTATTTTTATTCATATCTGATAAGTAGTGTCCTTGCTGTTTAGGCAAATTTTCCTCTGTTATGTTCTATTAAGATGTTTGTTTTGATGTATTATGCATTTTCATATTGTGACCTGATTTTTCCAAGGGACAAAGGTGGAATTGTAACTATGGTTTGACACAGAAATTGATGACTGGTCTCCAAAAACAAAATCTTAGTATGCTAATCTTGCCAATCACCTCTTAACATTTTATGTACTATCATTTAGGAGTCCAACAGCTACCACAAGGAAGATTTCTATGTTACAGCCTTTAACAAACTATTATAATTATTAACTTTCATTGTTATGGATTTCTGATTATTGTTCTTGGGTTTGGTCTGGTAATTAAAATTTGAATTAGTGCTTCTTCTTCCCCAAAATACTGTAGCTCTATTTTATACTTATATATTAATCAGATATTGGAGACCTGGGGGTTCATAAATTTTGAGGATATGTTAAATTATAAAGTAAGTATGATTGAGGTGGATTCCTTTGATTGACTTTTGCAGCTTAGAAGTCATTATATCATTAGGGAACAAACTACACAGAAGATAGCAATTATTTTCTCAAGACTCCCTTTAGTGAATTATCATGAGATTCAATAAATAGTTTAGCTTTTGTATTTTCTCTTTATTTGCCTTATTTTTCTGTTAGAAATTATCATATAACTTTCAGTGAACGCTGTCCTTTGTGTATTCTATTTAAACACATCATCTTTTTATATCTGTTGAAATGGGTAGGTTGTAAATATTCCAGAGCAAACTCTGTATCTGAAACTGAACATATCACTACTGTGTCATCAACTGAAGTTAAACTGAATTTTAAAAACTGACAATGTTTCATATTCACCAACACAATTCTTTTCATGTCTTCTAACTGCTGTTCTGTAACTAAAAAGCAAGAGGGTAAATGTGGCTTGTTTTAACTTTATTTTATATATATTTTTCCTTCAGCTGAAACTTCCAATGGAATGAAGGTTAGTTTATTGTAAACCATAGTTCTTCAGTCCAATATTTTAAAATTAGAATCATAGGATCTTGAGGCTTATTAGGGAGAAAGATTTGGGAGGCTTCTCCCTTAACAATTTGCTTTTAAGGGTTCTGAACAAGTCCTCTTGGGTACTTAATTCTTTTTTTAGACTTCTGGTGTAGGTTTAAGTGTTCATTGTTAACAATATATACTTGTACACTTTTTTGCATTATAGGCACTATAATTTTTAATAGATCCCTTCATTTAGCTCACTGGGCAGTGGAATGAGAAAATAATTTGGGATTTTTTAATTTAGATTTGAAAAGGATAGTATCTTAGTCCAACTTCCTATTTTCTATCTCCTTTGATTCGTGTGGACTCACTCATAGCTTCCTTTAGCTAAATAATAATCTGTTCCACCAAGAGGAAAAACTTTGACATTGCCTAAAGTTTTCCTGACAAAGATGGTAATTTTTTTTTTTAAGCTGTCAGCTGTATAAAAAAAATTCATTTAGTAATGATACATAACGCCATCGTGTAAACTCTTGTGAGTACAGCAACCTTGAGGAATGGCAAGGAGCCTTAGCAGGAACAAATGACTCCTTCGTGGCTGGCGGCTCCGCGCACCGGCAGCGCATCCCAGCGCGGATGCTCTGCCCGGGCCGGGCTCCTCGGCACTGACCGCGTTTGTTTTGTCCCGCAGGCCTCCAGCGCTGCTGCCCCAGCCTCGCCAGAGATGCACTACACGCCGCTGCCTTCCGGATCCAGGGACCTCACCAACCACAGAGGTGCGAGCCCCGTTTCATTTTTACTGCCGCGGGGCGTTAAGCTTTGCTCTCAGGCCTCCTCTGCCTTAGTTACGGCTGCCTTTCGCTGTACGGAGACCACCACGCCTTTCAAGCACTACGTGAGAAAACCATAGCTGTCAAGACTACAGATTTTAACTCATATTAAATAGGATTTACAGGTAGTCCACTGGGAAAGCAAATAAACCTATGGATAATAACGCTCAGTGATTTTTGTGTGCGAGAGAGAGAAAAATGTAAAACTATTAGAATACTTAAACATTGCTAAGTAGATGATTACATTGAGCATTGGTAATTTTGAGAGAATTTGTAAACTTTTTAATATTTTTTAAGTGAGTTTTTTGGCAGTTTAGAAATTTAGGACTATAATTTTAAAATGTTAACACATTTTCATTGCAACAAAAAGGGATTCCTCTCTGTTTTTCAACATTAAATGTAGATCAGTTTTCAATTTCCTTTTTCATCAATCTTTAGAACTTAAGAAAGCACCTTGGGCAAATTCACAAATTCATTCTGCATACCTATGAAACAAGAAATTCAGGGAAAGGTGAAAAACTGAAGCAGTCAGGAAGGGTGCATTCTGATTTTTTTTTTTCACTTTTTTCAAAAAGGAGAAATTTGTAAAGCTTGAAGCACTTTTTCAGCTTAACACCAGAGCAACAATCTTCTTATTTATTTCCTACATTATCCATTGAGTATACACTGATCATGTAAACCATTTGTCTATAGGCAGGGTTTTTTTAGGATACAAGGATCAAAGTCAGCCTTATATTTATGAATTGATGGTAGCTTAATTTTAATGTGTGTTCAAATTCTGCAGCACTACAGAGGATGGAAGCAGCTTTAATAGAATTCCATATTACTTGATACGTTCTGAAAGAATCAGGCAGGTAATGCACCTGAAGAAGGATCTGTGGTTCAGGTGTGAAGGATGAGGGAAGCAGGTGATTACAACTTTATTTGTTGCAGCCTGTATCACTGTTGTTGTGCTAGAGCTGAGGATGAGTATGAAGCTTCATCCTGGCCTTGGTGCAGGTTGCTGTGGTGGAAATCAGATATCCTAGAAGTGCTCTGGGTGCATTGTATTCCAGCACTGAGCTCGCATAGAAACTGATGCTTTTTAAAGAGAAAGGACCAACCAAAATCCTGAATTTGGGCACATACCCAGACTTCAGAGATTAAAAAGCAACCTCTCCGCCCTCAAAAGAAACCTACAACAAAGTGTCCCTCCTCTCCACCCTCCCTCCTCCCCCCCATTTTCAAGATTGATTTTTCAGATAAACATGTTGCCTTTGAGGTTGGATTTCTGGTGTTGGCTTAAATGGCTAGGGTCTACTAACTCAATAAATAGAATGCTAGAATCTAGAAAAATACCTGAGTTCTATAGAAATAGTTTCAAAGTGCCCTTAAAAGCCAGGTATCTTCAGATTTTGTATTTAGATAATAGTGTATTGGAAGTGTGGCTTCATGGTTGAATTTGTTATCTAATTTGACAAGAGAAATGCCAGTAATTTTGGATCAAAATCGGTGTGTCTGCATTATTGATTGACTCCTCTTTCAATTCAGCAGTTGTGTGGCTGCAGTAGGTGGTGCAGACACATCCAGCAGGTGTTTGTTCAGAGTGGGAGCTTGCCAAGGTCTAAGTACCCACTGTCCTCACCAGGGTTTCAGAATGTCTGCCCCCTTGCCATGAGAAAGGAAAATTATATTCCCCAAATCACCAACATTCTACCCTTAGCAGTTCACATAATTTTTATTACTTCTGTCTTTACTCTTCCCAGAAATATTCTGCTCTGCATACTAAATATGCTTCAAATTTCCTTGTGATTAAGCACCTTTATAAATAAAGTGAAGGGAGAAGAGCATGTCATCCAAAGAAAGGATAAAATTTGTCCTTAAAGAGACATTCTTAACATGATTTGATAAATTTATATATATGTGTGTGTGTAAATATATACACATATTCACAAGGAAATAATTAAGAACACTTTCCAAACTTCCAGGTCTTGGAAGAACCGATTCCAAGCTTAGAACAACCTGTTGGCAAGGCCCATTAACTCAATCAACTTCTTTTATACAAAGAAAAAATCCAGAGTTCCCAAGTCCATAAAAGATTAATTGCAGTCAATAGAAAAATCTCCAAGGAAAGAATGAAATACTTAAGCATGCTATTTTAGGTTCTGAATATCTTCAGTTTTTTTCTTCACAGAATGCTTTCAGTGTTGTAAAGTAGAATTGAATCAGCTGTTGCATATGTAAATATTGGCGGTTTTCAATGCATACTGGAATGAAGAATGCTGTAATTTTGTGAGTGTAATTTGTCCCTGGAGAAACTTGTTTACCAGAATCCTGAAGTCTGGCAAATGGTTTGGTACAGCTCTAAATTGATTTTTAGGGGACTGGGAAGGGTAGCAGGAGCAAGCTGGATGTATTTGATACAGTTTCACTTGGACATTTCTCACTCTATTTAGCTATGATTTTTTACAGGGAGAACAAAAACATATAATTATGTGTGGGTTGCACAATGTGTCTTACAGCTTTTGTGTTCATGCATGCAGTATATAATTTCCAGTCAGGATCCAGTTCTTTAGGCTGACTCCATACTTTGTACAGACAATTTCAGGAATGATAAAAATCTCACTCTCCCTTTCAAAGCCCACGGAAACAGCATAAGACAGTGTGATGTCAGCATGGAATGATATGGAATAAGCACTGCAAGTATTATATTGAGTGTTATAATGCTTGAGTATATAAATACATGAAGAGAGAAATATTCCATCATGTTTTTAAGCTTTGGAATTTTTTTCCCCATCTTGGGAAAGTGTTTTCCCTTATATTACAGTGTTGCTTAGACTCACTTTTCTAAGTTGAACCTTACCTCAGTCCCACTGTTCATATTTTTCAGTGAAAAATATATTAAATAGGATTTACAGGTAGTCCACCGGGAAAGCAGTTAAATCTATGGATAAAGGCCTTCTATTTAGATTTTGGGCATCTGACAGCAATATGACTTGATTCTTTATGTGATCTAATTGCTATCCTGTTAGACAAGACTTCCAAAGTGGTAATTTTATAACTAACTGTATTTTCTTTTAATTCCAAACCAATGATCTCAAACTTCTAAGGATCTTTCCTTGGTCTTTGTTAAAGTAGGATTTTGTATTTTACTTTGTATGGATTTAGAACCCAGTGATTTACTTGTGTGAAGTTTGTGAAGTTCTCTCACCTAGTTAAAAGAAATCAGTTCATAGACACAGCCTCCTGTCATAAAAAGTGCTTCTTTTGTTTCTATATTCTATACATTGCTTATCTTTTTCTTGCTTTCAGATTTTCTGGTGAAATCAAATATATGCACCCCCCATTCCTATCTGCTTTTTGAGATTTACCTTTAATGGAAAAAAAAAACCAATAAACCAAACAGAGCAGTTACTTATTGCAGTTTTTAAATAGAAATGTCCATGCTCCACGAAAGTGATGAAATGTAGTGACTTTTAGAAGAAATTGGCCCAAAAATTTTGGGACTTATGTAATTTTTTTAGTGATTTGTATATATGTACCCTTCTATTCCTTGTTGATAATTTATTAACTGGGTACATATCTTTAAATAGAAATATCAATTCTTAACATAGTTGTCATTGATGAAAAAGAAATTTTAAAGTCAAAATAATGTATTTGTAAGGATAATTTGTCTGATTTATGTAAAAAGGCCCTCCCCTTCACCCCACTCAAGTTGTATATTTGTTCTTTTATAATGGCATCCTTTTTTATAAGGATGTGCCTTTATATGTAAGCATTCAAACTCAAATTGCCTTCTAAAAGAACAGTGCTTTTCAGTTGATGGGGAAAATAGTAATTTATCATTCTATCTCATCAGAAGCAATATCACTAAATCATGGCTATCATGGAAATCTGTTTTTCCCATACAAAAATATGTGCTGGATGCCTTTTGTATAAGCAGTTATTTTATAACATTGTCTATTACCTGATTTACTTGGAAACATATTAATTTGCCAAAGCCATTTGGTTTCCAGTAACAATTTACAGCTGACTCCTCCTTTTCTTGTGATCTTGTTTCTGGGAAAAACCTGTGGTAAGTCTACCCCATAGCTTACTGGTAAAAGGAAGAAGAAGCAGTTTCCATTACAAACTAAGCCTGTACTTATGTAAGTACTTTTTAGAACCTTAGCTTGGATTTAGGCCAAGGTTTAATAGTTCTAATCTATTATGACTTGTAAAAACTTTCTGAACAAATCCACTGTCCTGTTTTGGTGTATGTACAGTTAATTTTCCAAGCATTCTGGTATGTGCAGTTATTATGGTGTCTTATGTTTGAAGGATGAGTGCCCAAATGAAAAATTGGTATTTATTCTACCAATATGTTTCAATCAACTGACAGATGTGTTTTCTTATTTTATGATCTGATCTTGAAAATCATCAACTGCATTCAAATCCCATGCTCAGAAATCCAAGGAAAGAATATTTTAAAGCTTCTTATTAACCTTCTAAAGGTAATTTTATAGACCCTTTTGAAGAAAGGAAATGAGAGATTCCTTTTGCTCTCAGTTTCTCTTTGTCTAACAGAGCTGTGCTAAAGATTTCTTTTGAAATTAAAATCTTTCCAAACTTTCCCATTCTTCAGCAAAAAATCATAATCATAGAGAGACACCTGAACTTGCAACATTTCCTTTTTCTGTGATTCTTATACTGTGCTATTTTACCCAGAATATTTGGCATAGTATATTTTCACTAATGACTTATGTGTTCATACAAAATTCTTCCTGACTGATTGTTGGGGTGTGCCACACAGAAAACCAGCTAGTAGCTTTGTAGGAGTTTAGATAAGTACTGATCAAGATAAAAGTGGACTGCACACACAACAACAAGGGTTTAGCCCATCCAGTTGGGCAGGAATTCAGAATCCAGCACATGTCAAAGGATATCTACTACTTTCAAAATTTGGTGTTGAAGGAAAAAAGTAGAAA